TGCCGGACATGAAAAAAGACAAAAAAGGAAAAAAAAAAAAAAAAAGACAGTGCAGTACTGGTGAATGAATAGACACATAGATCAATGGAAAGACCAGAAAGCCTAGAAATAACTGATCTTGACAAAGGAGCAAAGCTGAAACAATGGAAAAATGGTAGTCTTTTTAACAAATGGTGCTGGAAAAGCTGGACACCTACTAGCAAAAAAAGAAAAAAAAATGAACTTAGACCTAGTTCTTACACACTTTACAAAAATTATCTCAAAATGGATCATAGATTTTAATGTAAAATGTAAAACTCTGAAACTCCTAGAAGATAACATAGGAATGATGACTTTTTAGATACAATACCGAAGGTACAATCCATGAAAGAACGACTGATAAGCTGGACTTCATTAAAATAAAAAACATATGCTCTGTGAAAGACATTGTCAAGAGAATGGTAAAAAAAAGTCACAGCCTTGGAAAAAATATTTGCAAAAGGCAGATATGATAAATGAATGTGTGATGGTTTGTATCGAGGGAGCCACAAATCTGAGAGGACACTCACTCAGTGCTTGCCTGTTCCAAAGAACTCACCTGGTGTTCCAACAAGTAGAGACACTAGTTTATTAGACTTAGGAAAGTCATTGATGGTGGCCAGTCAGTCAGATATCCATGCTGCCACAGGAAACATACAACAGTTACAATATAGTGAACAGATCAGAGTAGGGGTGTAAATCATTTTCAGGCTTAAGTTCAGACCCTCACCCACTCACATAACTCAGAGCATGCTGGAGATCTGGCTGCGTAGATAAGTTAATCTACTCACTGCTCTCCTGGTGCCAGAGTGTTTGTTCATTTACTTAGGGTCCCTGCTGCCTCCAGCCTTCTGTTTTTCTTAAACGGGACATGCCTTTCCTTGGGTGACTACCTTGGCCAGAGGTAGTCTCCCAGTGGGGAGAGAGAACTCTGGTATGCATCGGGAGGGAGCATTTACTTGACATGGTTAATTTCATGTGTCAACTTGAGTGCATCATGGGATGCCCAGATATTTGGTTAAACATTATATCTGGGTGTGTTTGTGAGGACATTTTAAGAATAAATTATAATTTGAATTGGTGGAATCAGTAAGTCAGATTGCCCTCCACAATGTAGATGGGCATCATTCAATCTACTGAGGCCCTGGACAGAGCAATATTTCAAGAAGGGAGAATTTTCTCTTTCTGCCTGACTGCTTGAGCTGGAACATCAGTCTTCTCCTGCCCACAAATGGGATTTTCATCATCAACTCCCCTAATTCTTAGACCTTTAGACTTGTACTGAATTACACCAGCACTTTTCCTGGGTCTCCAGCTTGCAGACAGCTAATTGTGAGACTTCTCAGCCTCCATAATGAAGTAATCAAATTTCTCCTAATAAATCATTATATACACACACACATATATATCTCTCCTGCAAATAAATATTTGTGTGTTTTGTGTGTGTATACATATCTCTCTCTATATGTGTGTGTGTTTCTGTTTTTCTGAAAAATCCTGTCTAAAATATACAAAGAGTTCTTAAAACTCACCAACAATATGAAAACGGATAATTCAAGTTGAAAAAAAATGGGAAACAGACCCTAGCAGATACCTCACCAAAAAAAAAAAAAAAATACAGATGGCAAATAAACATATGAAAAGATGTTAAGCACTGCATGTCATCAGGAAAATAAAAATTAAAACAACAAGTAGACACCACTGCACACCTATTAGAAAGGCTACAATTGGTAATACTGACAACATCAAAGGCTGACAAGGCCGTGCCTCAATAGGCCTTCTCATTCATTGTTGGTAAAAAAGCAAAATGGTACAGCCACTTTGGAAGAATTTGACAGTTTCTTGCAAAACTAAACACACTCTTACCATACGGTTCAGCAGTCATGATCTTTGGTATTTAACCAAGTTAGTTGAAAACTTATGTCTATCAAAAAGCCTCTACACAGATATTTAGAGCAGTTTTACTTAGACTCACCAAAACTTGGAAGCAACCACTATGTCCTTCAGTAAGTGAATGAATAAATAAACTGTGGTACATCCAGACAATGGAATATTAGTTAACACTGAAAAGAAATGAGCTACCAAGCTATGAAAGGATACGGAGAAACATTAAATGCATGTTACTCATGAAAGAAGCCAATCTGAAAGGCTAAATCTTGTTTGATTTCAAACATATGATATTCTGGAAAAGGCAAAACTATGGATACAGTAAAAATATCGGTGGTTGCCAGGCGTTGGGGAAAGGGAGGGAAAAATAGAGAAAAGAGGATACGTAGGGTGATGAAATTATCCTTTGTGATACCATCACGTGGATACATGCATGCCATTACATATTTGTCAAAACCCATAGAATGTACAACTCTAAGGGTGGCTCATAATGTAAACTCTGGACTTTGGGTAATAATGATGTGTCAATGTAGGTTAATTAATTGTAACAAATATACCATTCTGGGGAGAGTTGCTCATAGTGCAGGAGGCTGTGTGCCTGGGGGAGGCAGAGTGTGTGTGGTAATTCTCCCTGATTTTTGCTCAATTGTGCTGCAAATGGACCTAAAACTGCTCTAAAAACCAGGTCTAACATGCATCTGGGCTTCATGTTAGAAGGAGATTATCTTATACTGGGGTCATGTTCCTATGGCAATTTGACTGTGATACTCCCTGGTTATCCTCGTGTCCCCAGCAGAGGTCATAGCTAAGCACATGCAACTGGGCTTCTTCAAGGGAACTGTAAGTTAAGTGAATCCTGGGGAAATTGTTGCTGAGAGCTATGTGTCAGTTCTCGGTATGTTCTTTTCTTTCCATGAGCAAATTTTGCTGACAATTTTTTTCCTATTTTGTTCTGGAAATAGTTATATTATAAAATAAGAGAAATAATGGCACTATAACAAAATCACTGAAGGCCATATGATAAAAGAAAGGATTTTGCTGATATCTCTTCTCTGATCTTAAATGACTGACAAATTATTTAAAAGAGGTATCTATCATTCACTTTGTAATGATTGGTTTTACCTTTACATATGCATATTTTGCAACACATCGTTTTAATGATTTTATTGTACAACATTATCTTTCACAACACTCTCATACTTTTCCTCTCAAAAGGCAAGTCTCATTTATAACACATTTGTCTTAGGAATGACATCTTTATTTTTTTTCAAACACTAAAAAATATACATTCCATTCATAAAATATTTTCATAAATCCTTTGCTTGTTCATTTCTCCATCAATTCAATTCCTACTTATGTAATTATCATATGTGATAAAACATTTTTTTAAAAATAAGGGTGCATGAATTTAGATGAATCATTTATTATCATTTTATTAAAATATCTTTTGGCAAGAATAATTTTCATTACTATTTAGCTTAAGGAAAGTTTTCCTGAATTCACTCAATTATGAATGCACTATATTTTAAAGTTGTGGGATCTTTTTTTTCTGATGTCTGAAGCTTTCCTCTCAAAGCCATTACTCAGCCAATCAATCCAGTTAAAAAATTTGTAGTTTAGTGTTCTATATTCAAAACAAGTGATTGATTAACTCTTTCTACTTCTTAAAGATCATTTTTAACTTGAGTATACAATCCCATCTTCTCTCCTGTATCAAGATATTGTGTGTAAAAGTAAATTCTGTACTTTGCAGTTATAATTGGCAACTTCCAATGAATTGCACTGCTAACTAATCAAATATGAGTTTAGTTGAAGTCACTGGTGTGTTTTTTAAAGGTGTCATGATCCAAATATTTTTAACAAAAATAAAAAAGGAGTTTATTAAATGATTATCAATGTTTGGAGTAGCAAATTTATTTGTTCTATATACTTAGCATGAATATACACATATAAATATGCTTAAGTGGGAGTATTTTGCTTTTGTGCTATATGGTTTCCCTNATTTTGCTCATATACTTAGATTTAGTTCTTGTTAAAGTTGTGATTTTCTGACAAAAATAGTGAATTTCTTAGTCTGGATATATGTTAAAACACTTTCTGCCCATAATCTCTGTTCAAGTGTCCACACTCCTGAAATGTTTTCCATCATGAAAATTGTCAACCTTGCTAGGAAGCTATGCATATTATCCTGTAAAGAGGGAAAGCAATCTCTGCTTAAATCAATATGACTATTACAACTGGCACTTCTGGGGAGCCCAAAAGTTGTAAACTGTTCAGCACACCAGCAAGAGGAGCAAGATTGGGCAACAGGGCTGCCCTGGAGGGACCAAGGAATGCAGACAAGCAGGTATCTTAATTTGTCACTAAAAGAATGTTGTGGGACATGTGGTTATAAATAAATGTTGCAACAGAACACTTTCAGTAGATTGTTTAGGTACTGTTTTCTCAGAAGTGTAGCTTCCTCTCAAAAATATGCTATTTGAAAAGGCATTTCTTAAAACAAGAAAATATATATATATATCTAAGTTGCTTCCTGTTTAATGTATAACTCATATTGTTTTATGTAAACATATGTATTACAGGAGTTATTAGAACTGCCTTACATAACATGGACAGAGAAGCCAGAGAACACTACTCGGTGGTCATTCAAGCCAAAGATATGGCTGGGCAAGTTGGAGGGCTTTCAGGATCTACAACGGTCAACATCACCTTGACCGATGTCAATGACAACCCACCACGGTTTCCTCAGAGTATGTACCTGTTTCCCATGATTTGAATTTATTAGTATCCATTTATGTAAAATAAAGTGAAATACTTGAATATTTAATGTTATGTTACTGTTTTNGAAGTCACTGGTGTGTTTTTTAAAGGTGTCATGATCCAAATATTTTTAACAAAAATAAAAAGGGAGTTTATTAAATGATTATCAATGTTTGGAGTAGCAAATTTATTTGTTCTATATACTTAGCATGAATATACACATATAAATATGCTTAAGTGGGAGTATTTTGCTTTTGTGCTATATGGTTTCCCTTTATGCAAGACTAAAGAAATCAATCCACCTATTGTCTCTTAAGCCTGAGAAATAATTGTCACAATTTTAAAAGTATGAGTTTTGGTTCACATCACATTTAAATATTAAAAACTATGTAGTGGTACTAAGTAATGACATCCTGCATCTGCAGGAGTAGTTATGTATTATTAAAATACTCATGGAGATATTGAAAATGCATTTTGATATTGTCATTCTGCTCATGCAATGTTATTCCATATGTACTTGGTGTGACTACATTTTTTTAAAAACTTGCTCCTGTTATGAATGTACATACACATAAATATAAATATATTTATATATAAATATATATGAATATATGTTTTATACATATTTATAACATATCTCATCAACATGAGTAAAACATTTTTGGTTTATGACATAGTTAATAGGCCTTGGGTAAACTTGGTCCTCTGGGAAATGTGCTTTTAGTTTTAAAATTTAAGATCTATTGACAAAACTATCTATTTCACATGTTCATGAGGGGGTTATGTATGCATAATCTCAAATAGGCATATAAAGTTTTTTATTCATTTATTAAATCTAAGTATCTATCATGAAGAAGTGCATTAAACATGCCCCCAGGCTCTATAAGACAAAAAATGTGACTTTTACATGTGATTTTTAGAATCCATTTCATCACTTCATTTTGCTCATATACTTAGATTTAGTTCTTGTTAAAGTTGTGATTTTCTGACAAAAATAGT